GGGTTCAATTCCCAGTACAGCAAAAGAAAAAAATGTTCAATTTATAAAAGTAATAACATACTTTAAATTTATTTTCCCTCATGTCTTCAGTAATATTTTATCTATAAATCTAAGACTTTTAAAAAATTGCATTACTGGGGATTGAACCAAGGACCTCACACATGCTAGGTGAGCACTCTAGCATGGTCCGTTGTAAAATTTGCTTTTAGAAAGGTCTCACTAGGTGGCCTGGGCTGACCTCAGACTTGTGATCCTCCTGCCTCAGCCTCCAGAGTAGTTAGGATTACAGGCATGTGCAACCATGTCTGGCTAATGTATTTTAAGGATTACTTTTGGTACCAGGAATTGAACTCAGGACCTTGTGCTTGCCAGGCGTTTATGCTGCTGGGCTACATCCCTGGCTGAAGGAATTGCTTTTAAGAGGAACTTTGAATTTTTTTTTTTTCACTAACTCAAATTCAACAGACCAAATTCCTTTAAACAAATGGTCCCATTTACAGTGAATTAAATTGTATCAAATGATTGAAAAGGCAATATTAGCAGTATATTTGAATTTCTTTTATGGCCTGACCTAGTCAGTTAACCTTTCAAATCACATAAATCATTCTTTTAAAGTCTAATTTAATTTATAGTGACTATCAAGTTCTCATAAAGTTTCCATAATTTTGTGAAATAATCCTATACCTTTCAACTAAAATGGAAGTCAGTTAGACAACCACATATGTTAGTTAGGAATAACAAGACTGATCTGTTTTTTCTCAAATTTGACAAACTCTCTTCATCAATACAATCACTTTGAATATAAACATACAAGTTATTCCTAACTGGCAAGAATTTCTTTAACATCTCTGTCTGAAAATCTGAACTTTCATATTTGCCTCCTGGAAACTGGTTTATATTTTCAAATTACTACTTCCAAACAAATGTATCTTTCATCCAGGGGACCAGAACAGGTTAGATGTGAAAACTTTGGCTAAATATGTTCAGTACAACTTTCTGAGTGTGCCAGAATTTTAAACTGTTTACCAAAAGTAAATTTCCCCATAGTCCAAGGGGAAATCCTTTTAGTTTCTTTTTTTGTTGTTGTTTTTTTGTCTTTTTGAGACAGGGTCTTGCTATGCAGTTCAGGCTGGCCTTGAACTCACTTTGTAGCCCAGGCTGGCCTCAAACTCACAACAATCCTCCTGCCTCAGCTTCCTGAGTGCTGGGATTACAGGCATGCGCCACCATGCCCATCTTGGGAAATCCTTTTAAGAAATTAAATTCTTAAAAAAAAAAAAAAACTAAAGATTTCCACGAAGAAATTAAATTCTTCATGGAGTAGTTTCTTTCTTTTTTAGGCAGAGTCTCACTATGTAGCCCAAGCCGACCTTGAACTCATAGCAGTCCTCCTGCCTCAGCCTCCAGAGTGCTGAGATTACAGGCGTGCACCACCACACCTAATTCATGGGGTCGTTTTGAATGGGGACCTTCTAGCTCTAACCCTGGTTCTGCTCTCATGATCTTCCTTCATGGAAAAAAAAAAGTTTTCTTTTAATGTTTTCTACCTCCGCCAGGTGAATCACTCCTTATCATGCTCAAAATGAGGTTGGGCTGCTGACGCCAGGACATACTCTTCTGCATGACACAGTGAGTGCTACACATCTCTGAGTAATTCTACCTAAAGCAATAGTGTAATTGCAACAATAATGCAGCGGCGTTTATTGAGCTCCTACTTTGCGCCAGTTGCTGTTTCAATGCTGTACCCCCAGGATGCTCACTGCTGTTCGTGGGATCTCAGCACCCTGGGGGAGCAACCTGCTGCTGTTGCTCTAATTCTCACTCTGGTCCCCAGAAACTCACAAGGTTACTTCCCCTGTTATCTTCTACCACTGTGAAATATTTTCCATCAAGTGTCTAGCAAGACACTGTTGCACCATCCCCAGGTGTCCTGAAGGCAGGCATTACTTCTCAGACAGCATGGTCCAAACCCATTTGAAAAAATGTTTTTCTCATTGCCTCTTTGCTCTGTGGCCCCGTCACAAGGTTACAAAGAACCATATTCAATGACTTTAGCTCCAACTTCCAATCATACTTCTTTAAAGATAAGAAATTTAGAGCTGGGTGTGGTGTAATCCCAGCACTCAGGAGACTAAGACAGAAGGACTACCTTGAGTTGGAGGCCAGCTTGGGCTACACAGTGAGTTCAAGACCAGCCTAAACTATATAGTGAGACCGGGTCTCAAAAAAAAAAAAAAAAAAAAGAGAGAGAGAGAGAGAGAACCTGTCTCAAAAACTAAATTTTTTTTTGAAACAAAAACAAAAACGGGGTGTGGTCTCACATGCCTGTGATCCCAGCACTGGGAAGGCTGAGGCAGGAGGATTGCCAAGTTCAAGGTCAGCCTGGTCTACATAGTGAGCTCAAGGCCAGCCTGAACTACATAGCAAGACCCTGTCTCAAACAAAGAAATACAGAGTGCTGTGAGAACACACAGCAGGGCCACCTTATCTAGGGTTGGTGGGTGGTGGATGTCTTAGCTACTTCTCTCCTTGCTGGGACAAAATACCCCACACCCACAAATGAAGGAGAGGTCTATTTTGGCTCATATTTCAGCCTACAGTCCACAGGCTCAGAGTTAGAAAGGCTTTCCCTTAACCAAAAACTGCTCCCAGCGTAACAGACAGGAAGCCGAGAGCCAAAGGTGGAGCTGGGGAGAGAACAAACCCTTCTGGCCATGGCCCCCGCGACGCTCCTCTGGAGACCAGACCCAACCTCCTGATGGCAAGTAGGTTATCAGCCCCATGATCCAATCACCTTCCAAAAGCCCTACCTATGGGGGCTCTTGGGGGACATCTAGATATAAACCATACCTGGGGCATCATGGCGTTCAGCCTGAGTTAGGTAGTACTGACTTGGAGGGAGTAGTTAGCTGAAACTCAGTGCTCATTTGAGAACAGAGGCTGACCAGTAAACAGTCTTATGTTCTCCAGCTCTAAGTCCCTTCCTTTCACTCAGTATTCTTGTTCTATTCATCTCCCCCGCCCCCCCCCCACCAGAAATCGAACTCTAGACCTAGTGCTTGCCGGGCAGGTGCTGTGCCGCTGAGCTAAATCCCCAGCCCCTGTTCCATTCATCCTGTTTTGCACTTTTTTCTGAAGTGTCCAGTTTATATAAAAATTTACAAAAATTGGGCTCATTGCCTCAGGCAAGGGAGATATTCCCAAAGATGCTAATTATTCTGTGTTAACCTAAAGGGGTGTTATGGTTGATACACTGTGTCAACTTGAGGAGTCTAGAGGCTTGGCTAAGTGACTCAGTTCTACATCCTGGGGTGAAAAAGACCCGCCTTTCATGCTCTGGGATGTTTTTCGGTATTCATCCTGAGCCTGTGCAAGAGGAGGACACTGAGATGGTATGGGCGTGGGCGGATAGCCAACATACAGTATCACAGAGGAAAAGAGGTCTGCTCCTCCCTGCTTTTGCTCTTGCTGCCTTTGCTGTCCTGTGCCACCTTGAAGTGTTGTCCTTGTGGCGTGCCACCCTGCCTTGGAACCAGCTGATTATGGACTGAAACCTCCACAAACTGTGAACTAAATAAACCTTTCCTGCCTTAATTTTGGGTGTTGGGTATTTTGTCGCAGCCAGCAGAGAAAAGTAACCAAGACAAGGGGCTTCCTGCAAAGTTACATTTTTAAAAAAACAGAAAAGTAAGAAGAAAGAAAATCATTCATAAATTTACAAACCAAAAAAACCAAAACCAAAACCATTTCTTTATTTAAAGCACTGATTAACAATAAAAAATTGAGTTATATTTTATATATGTATGGTAATTCATAATAATCAATTGTTACTTTTTCACCTTTAATCATTTTTCCATTTAAGCATAACTTTAAACAGCTGCACAATATCTTATAGAATGTCTATATATTATTATTTCTTTATTATCAGACATTACACATTAACATAAGCAACTTTTTGCATCATTAATTTCCTGTTTAGAATTACTTTTCTTAGGGTAGATTTCCAGATATGTAATAACGCATTCAATGGAATCTTAAGAAAGTTTTTGTTTTGTTTTTTGAGACAGGACCTCACTATGTAGTTCAGGCTGACCCTGAACTCACTATGTAGCCCAGACTGGCCTCAAACTCATAGTGATCCTCCTGCTTCAGCCTCCCAAGTGCTCAGATTACAGGCTGTACCTTCTTCAGTATCCCTACAGTCCCACTCCGATTTCTAGCAAAGCCTGCATACACTTACTGGCTCCCGCCTTCTTCCTCTTGCAGACTGTGAGGCATTGCATCTGCTATGGTTTGGAGTTGAAATGGCCCCCAAAAGTGATGTGCTGAAAATTTGGTTATAGCTGATGGGCCTTTGGGGTTATGAATTGGATCATGGGGGCTCTCTCAACATCGAGTGGACTCTATTTGGATGGCATTAATGGAATGCATTCCTAGGAGGCGGCAGAAACAGGAGATGGGACCTGGCTGAAGGAGCGGGTCATGGGGCTGTGATCTCGGGGGCTGTATTTGGTCCCTGGCCCCTTCTTTTCTGGCTCTGGCTCTTACTTTCTCCCTGCTTCCTGGCGGCCATGAGGTGAGCACCTGTCCTCCGCCACCCCCTGCACTGCTGTGATGTTTCTGCCCCTCAACGAGCCAAGGAGCCATGGAGCCAGCTGACCAAGAACTGAAACTGTGAGCCACAGTAAACCTTTCCTCCCCTAACCTGACTTTGCCAGGTATTTCATCACAGCCATATAAAGCTAACACAGCATCTTTTCTGCCAGCCCCAGTGCTTCCTGCAAAAAGGGAGGTGACAATACCCTCCTGGGAGTGGCTGGCAGAGATAGTGGTTATAAATATAAAAGGCTCAGCCAGGCACCCAGCACATATGTACTCAAAGTAACGAGGTCTCCTGTGGTTACTTTTGTGTTACTTAATGATATATATTACAGTGTCATGATTAATAAGGGAATGAATAAAAGAATAACCAGGTGCATTAACTTCAATTAAATCCTGTCTTTGGCCCACAGTGGAAGTGAACTTTTATATTCCTTGTCCCTTGTACAAGGAATGACCACACTATCCCTGCTTGCAGTATTTTTGATTGTTTTGTTGGTTCTGTTTTAGATGAAATCCAACAGCCTATGCAAGCTTCCCCTCTGAAGTTTCTCCCAGTTCTTGGACGAGATTCACTCATGCAAGGAGGATGGTGAAAGTCTGAGAAGTGGCTCCTTTTTTTGCAGAGCTTTTGGCTTCTTGGTGACCGCTGTCTCTCTGTGGACACAAAAAGGAATAGGTTAAAACCCTGGTATGATCAGGAGAGTGAGGGAGGAATGCCCAGGTTAGGCAAACAGCTGAGAAATCAGTCAGAGTAAAGCAGCTGGAAGGCTGGAAGTGACAGGCTGCATACAGGGTTTCCCTGCACGGGGTGGAGGGTGACAACTGGGAGAACTTAGAGGAGAGCTTGATAACAGTGTAAGACAAAACAAAAATAACAAGCAAAGAAACCAGTACATTAAAATAGATCTGGGATAGCTAAATAAACAAACTTAGATCCAAAGATAACAAAAGTTTTATAATAAGCCAGGCATGGTGGCTCACACCTGTAATCCCAGTGCTCCAGAGGCTGAGGCAGGAGAATTGTTGCAAGTTTGAGAACAGCCTGGGCTACAAAGTGAGCTCAAGGCCAGTCTGAACTGCATAGTGAGACCCTGTCTCAAAAAGACAAAAAGAAAAGAAAAAGAAAGTTTTATAAGAAACATAAACTGGGTATGGTACCACATGCCTGTAATCCCAACATTTCTAGGAGGCTGAGGTAGGAGGGTTGCAAGTTTGAATCTAGCCTGGACAATTTAGCTAAATCCTGTCTCAAAAAAAAAAAATGTAAAAAGGGCTGTGGATGTAGCTCAGAGAGAAGGCGCTGGGTTCAGTCCCTAGTACTGGAAAAAATAAATGAAAAAGGAAAAGAAAGGGAGGGAGGGAGGGAGAGAGAAAGAGAAAACAACCATTGTACATTGCACTGACTCATGGTGCACCTGATAATAGTGTTGATGATATCATAGTGCTGATAAATGATCTAATCAAAATTACAGGATAAACCTACTGGACTTTGGAAAAATCAAGAAGTAGAGACAGCAGCACAGTACTCAGATATAGAGAGGAGAACACGTAGGAAAGCGTCATTGCTGGGAAATGACAGTTTTTTGGAACAAGCTTTGTAGAACTGTGAATTCGTTAACTGAAGAAGCACTTCTGTTTCGTTACTTTGCAACAGGCTTTGTTCTAAGTGCTTTACAAATATCCGGCCAACTGAATCCTTATAGTGGCCTCTGCCATTCCTGCTGTTATCATCTCCATTTTACAAACGAAAATAAAACAGAGGGAGAGAAGTTGGTAACTGTTCAAGGTCCCAAACTAGTAGGTTGTGCTGGAGATGGGACTAAAACCCAGGTGGTCTCGCCCACAGCTGGCTCTCTGCTCAGCTCCTGAAGGATGAATATGTATCACTTTAATTAAAGTAAACATGAAACTTTAAAAAAAAATCAGTGTGCCATTTTCAAACTAACCTCAGAAGCATAGAGAGGCAAAGTTCTAAACTATCCTTTTTCTCTCCAGGCAGTGAACAGAAGGAGAATGCCAAGCACCCACTAGCTAATTTCTTTGCCAAGAGTTCACTCGATCTCTCCCATGTGCCAGCTGCACAAGCAGGTGCTGGGGATTCCTTGCCTAACAGGAGCAGACCCCTGAATTTGGGAGACTCGGAGTACTGGGAGGGACACGGGCACTGCCATGACTGTAGCCGGATCTATTCAGCGGGAAAGCACAGGGACAAAATAGGCAGCCCTTGGGCAGTCAGGGGAGAATTCCTGGCGGAGGTGATGCCCAAGCTGGGCCTCAGGGACTAGGTAGGAGTTAGCGAGATGACAAAATAGCTACAGTGAAGAGGAAGGAGCAAAGAATCCTTGCTAAAATGAACTGGATTGGTTCGGGCTCCTTCTCTACCACTCTGAAATGGGTGTACAAAAGAATAGTATGCATAATCTCCTCTTAATCTGGGGATTCTGTAGTCCGATCTAGACTGGGTTTATTTATTTATTTATTTTTTTTTTACTTTTTTTTTTTTTTGGATTTTTCTTAGGTACCGGGAACCGAACTCACGACCTTGCGCTTGCCAAGCAGGCGCTTTTGTCGCTGAGCTAAATCCCCAGACTGGGTTTAAACTCGCAGTGATCCTCCTGCCTCTGCCTAACAAATGCTGGGATCAGAGGCATGCATCAACACACCCAGTGATTTCTTCACATATTATGTGTAGTTGGATTAAGATACTGAATGCTGCAGACATACTAACAATTTGTGTTTTATGTTAATCAGTATTCCCTTACTTGGGTGCCCTAACCCTAACCCTAAAAATATTTACAGGGGTGCAGAGAAGCTGGGGTGATCCAGGGTCCGGCCTTGGAGGAAGACGGGAAGATTCCCCTCTTAAGGAATGGAATGGGCCTGAGAAAGGGTTTCCTGGTGAGCCAGCTGGCCTGGTTCCCTGTCACCAAAGAGGCAGGGCCTGTCAGCTGGGCAGCCTGGCCCCCTAGATGTGGCCTCACCACAGGCTTCCGGAGCTTTACCCTGAAATGCAAAGACACCCATGACGAGCAGCAGTTGAGAGAAAACTGGAAAGATGGACGAAGAGATCCAAGACAGCCAAGCCAGCCCTCTGTCTTACAGGCATAGCAAACCTAGCAGGGAATCGAGAGCTGAAAAGGGGCCAGTCTTTAAAACTATGAACTGAAGATATGCATCAGGAGATGGGAGGCCGGGGAGTCAGCTCGACCTTCCTAGACCATGCAGTCAGCGCAGACACCACAAAGCCAGAGGCAAAAACCCCAGATCATTAAAGTTCAACCCACTGAGGCGGAGAGGAGTGATCTGCCTTGCTCCAAAACCCAATTAGGGACTTTCTCAGATGGTAAGGAACAAACTCCAGGTGGCAAGGGACAAGTGTATGTATTGCACAGTCACTAAAGTAAGCAAAATCACACCCAAAGTGGAGACTCCAGGTGGTAGGGAGACATGCGTGATGCGGAAGGGCCTGTGTGCAAGTAGAACTCCACCTCTGCTTGCTGTGGCATCAGAGGCCAAGTCTCTGCCCATGCTGCAGACGCCGTGGACGCTGGATGCCTTGTCCTTTGTTTCAGTCAGCCTGGACTGCTTTCTCCCCTTGTACCAGAGCATAAGAATTAAAAGTCTTGCTGCACTCCATTGTGCTTCAGTCTGATTCTTTTGATACCCAGCCCAAGAACGCACAGAGTTGATACCTGCTCTAAGCAGGCAAACAAAACACAGAAAAAGGTTCTTCAAGGGGACAGAATCAACATGGAGTGAGGAGAAACTTTGTTAAAGAATGAATATCGTCAATAAGAGATGAAAATTTTGTATCCATGGAAAGTAAAAGGATACTGCAAAAAAGGAAAAACCAAAATATAAGAGAGAACTCAAACTAGGAAAATAATAACATTATAGGACAGTTTTTGAAAGTAAGAGTTGGAAGACAAAATGCAGGAACTTTCTAGAAGGAGGACAGAAATTAGCTTGCTGGGGGCACAGCATTGTGTCCAGGCTTCAGCTTGGCCCTGGATCTCCTCCTGCTGTTCCTGCCACAGCATGGGTCCCCTGCCTGGTCACAGCCTGGGACAGTGAGCCAGTGGCCAGTGACATATGCTCATATTGCAGGCTCTGTCCCCAGAAGAGTGGCCGTGGCAGGCCCAGTGTACGACACACAGAGCTTCCATGTCCCGGGGCCTCCTCTTCTGTGAGCGCCAGAGGGAACACTCCCTGTGCACAGGCCTGATACCGGCTGGAGATGTAGCTCAGTGGTGGGGCCCTGAGTTCAATTCCAGTACTACAAAAATAAACCAAGCCAAACCAAATATTCCTCTACAACACACAACATACCAAGACTTATGGAGTACAGAGAAGGCAGTGTGCAGAGGAAAATTTATAGCTGTAAATGCCTATGCTTTGTAAGGAAGAAAAGTCTCAAGTCAACAGCTTCACTGTATGACTTTAGGACCTAAGAAAAAGTGGTAAACAAAACCCAAAGCCAGCAGAAGTAAGAAGCTGATAAAATATGAGAGCAAACAGTTGGAAATAGAACACAGAAAGAAAGGAGCATCAGCAAAATGAAATGTTAGTTATTTGAAGATGTTAACAAAATTAAACCTCTAGTTCAACTTACTAATGAAGGGGAGATGAAGGGGAGAAGGAAAGAAGATAATTCAGAAATAAAAATGGGAACATTACTACTGACCCTACAAAAATAAAAAAAAGCAAATATAAAGAGATATAAATGAGAATATAAACAATAACTGGGCTGGGGCTATAGCTCAGCGACAGAGTGCCTGCCTGGCAAGCACAAGGTCCTGAGTTTAATTCCTGGTATGAAAAAAACCCAAAAAACATATAAGCAATAACAAATTAAATAACCTACCTGAAAAGGTAAAGTTCCTAGAAACACAAAACTTACCAAAATGGACTCAAGAAAAAATATTCTACAGACTTATAATAAGAAGGCTGAATTAGTAATAAAAATACTTCCCAACAAAGAAAAATTCAGGACCACATAGCTTCACTGGTGAATTCTACCAGCTAAAGAGGAATTAACATCCATTCTCCACCTCTTCCAAAATATAGATGAGGTGGAAATGACTTTTTCCACGAGGCCAGCATAGTTGCAGACAATAAAGCAAGGACAGTGAAGGAAAGGAAATTACCAAAGACACAATGAAAGAAAATTTCTCAGAATTAAAGGACACTACCTTCCTCACTGAGAGGAAGGTAGTGCCTACTCCAATGAAACATAAATAAAAAGATTCCCACAGAGCCACATCATTGTGAAACTCCAGCATACTAGGGATAAGGACAATATTCTGAAAGTTCCCATGTAGTGTAGAGAGATCAAATCAGCACTTAGGAACCAAGATGGCACCTGACCTCTTAATAGCAGAATTCGGAGGTAAGAAGACAATTTCAAAATGTGTGGCAAGTAGACTTTTACTTTAGAATTTTATTCCCAGAAAAATGTTTGCCAAATACTAATTAGGAAAACCATGTATATTGGGCATGCAAAGGCTTTGAAAAACTTTGAAAAACTTCCCATAAACCTTTTCTTCAGGAGCTACTGGATAGGCTCCAGCAACATGAGGGAGTAAAATAAATAGCAAGACATGTAGCTGGGAAACTGAGACTTCAGGCCCTGTGAGGTGGATAAGGCAAAGTCACAGGGTAATGATGAAAGAAGTCCCATGAGGATAGCTGTGAGCCCACCCACAGCACCAGTCCAGACTGGAGGAGGGCAAGGGCAGGCCTTCGAAGGACCACACCATGCCAAATGAAGAAGGAACACATAGAACTACGGTACATTTGAGAACACAGAAAATAATGCTGCCTAGTTTTCTGGTAGCTCTTGGCAATCTGTAAAGAATTACCAACAGATAATGTCCCAAAAAGTACATATGTAAGCCTGTTATTTAGAGTAACAGAGGCAAATTAAAAAAAAAAAAAAAACCAGTCAAAAGAAGCAAAAGTTGTAACTTCCTTGGATTAGCAGTGCGGCAGGAGTTGCTACTGCGTATCAGAAACGGAAGGGTGTTATCTGATTTTTAGAAACTACCTGCACGTACTTATTTGATAATAAAATGCTGATCTGATTGTCACACCAGCAAAACTCTTACAGGGCAGCAGGGCCCCAGAGAGTGCTGCCCCTCCGGCCCGTTCCTAGCCCTTGCTCAGCCAGGCCCAGTGACTGAGGTCTTACTGCTGCCTTGAGCTGCAGCCCACCTGGAAAACCAGCCCATCCATGCCCCCCACTTAACTAGCAACAGAGCACACACGCTTCCCTCCACGCCCGCCCGAAGTCCTTGGGGTATACGCAGCTTTGCCGCAGGTTATCTCTTTGCATGTTTGTATTATTTTCTTTCTTCTAGACATGGGCCCTTGTGGCCAAGTGCTTTCACTTACTGATCTCTTTGTGAGTTTTTGGTTTTGTTTTGTTTAAGACAGGGTCTCACTATGTAGTTCAGGCTGGCTCTGAACTCACTATGCAGGCCAGGCTGGACTATGTAGCCCAGGCTAGCCTCAAACTTGTATTGATCTTCCTGCCTCAGCCTCCTGAGTGCTGGAATCACAGGTGTGCGCCACCACGCCCGGTTGTTTATCTCTCTGTATCCTCAGGTCTTCAGTGAAGGCTTTTCTGTGCCTCAGTTTTCTATTCAGTGAAACAGGGATGATGGCATTGAAAAAAATTGTGATGAACTAAAAATACAGTGAAGTAGTATTTTGTCACGGATGGAATTTCTCCCATTCTCCTCCTTGCCATCGACTGTGTTCTCAGGAACATAAAGGCCTGGCTACTCATAGCACTGCTTCAGTGCAACAGACTTGGAGGCTTCTGTGAAGCTAAGCTCATGGAGGCTGAGACAGGATAGCTCCTACCTTATAGATCAGACACTGTAGGATATCAAATGCGGGTGTCAGGGCCTTGAGGGAAAGCCAGCTGGACAAAGTAGCCAGTACACAGAGAAGTGGAGGGGGAGGGAGGGAGAGAGAGAAAGGGAGAGACCCAAATACCATGGAGCTCTTAGGTCGATAAAGGCCAGTGGCCGTTGGCAGTTACCTAAGCTGCTAGATTCTCCTTCCGCTAGTCTGAGCAGGCTTCCTGGCACTTGCGATCAAAGAGCTCTGAGTCACACAGCTCCTAAAGTGCCTAGCCCGATGCTTGGCATACAGGAAGTGCAAAAGTCATTGATAAGCGGGCGTGGTGGTGCACGCCTATGTGCCCAGCATGCAGGCAGGAGGAGTGCTTCGAGTCCAAGGGCAGTCTGGGCTGCATAGTGAGCTCAAGGCCAGCCTGAACCACACAGCAAGACCCTGTCTCAAAAACAAACAAACAACCCCAATAATAAAATGAAGTATGGGTTGAATGATTCATAAAAGTGTGTGAAGTTGTATGCATGCTTTTCCACATTGCAAGAATTCCTATGCTGTTCACACCTGCACGTTTCCCTGGCTTCAAGCAAACCTGAGAAGAAAGGCGGTTTCTCTGCAAAAGTTTCTTCTGCATTCCTTTTGGGACTCCTGCTCAGGGCCGAACGAGGAGGATGGCAGGATGAATGTGTGACTGGCCTGTCTTCTATCTGCTGCTCTCTTATCGGTATTCTTCACCTCCCTGGTGGAAATTGAAAGAACATATGGAAAACACTGAGTCTTTGGGAAAATATTTGCAGGTTCATTCATTAGTCTGCCAAGAGCCCTGGGTGGGCACAGCTGACCACATGACAGTGACTCAAGTCACTGATATCAGACCCCAGAGAGGGATAAAGGTCCCTTGTAAGTAAGGACCATAAATTCAGATTATAGAGACAGGTGAGGAACCCACGATCCAAGAAAAGGCTAAAGTATCCAAGAGCTTTGAAGGCGAGCTGAGTTCAAGTTGGGGCTCTACCATGGGCTGTGTGACTCTGAGCAGATTACTTAACCTCTCTGTGCTGGGGTACTTAACATGGTGATAAAAGAACTTAGTGTTGTGGCAAGGACTAAGTTACCATAGATCCAATGTGTAACACAGTGCCTGGTACGCAGAAAGTTCTCCCGAGCAGCTGCTGCTATTACAGGAGAAGGTTCCCAGTGGGGTGTTTGTGAAGCTTGGGGTGCACAATGGGAAAGCCGGATTGGAGATCTGTCAGCTGGCTCTTGAAATGTGCGTAGACATTTCTTCATGAAGAAGCAGGTTAGGAGTATTCAAGGCAGACAAAATAGCAACTGATATGTATGCAAGTAAATGAAGACGCTGTCATAAGCCAGGCATGGTGTCACACACCTGTGGTCCCAGTTACAGTGGCTGAGGCAGAAGGATCACTAGAGTCCAGGGCTTTGAAACCAGCCTGGGCAACATAGTGAGAGCTTGTTTCAAGAAATAAACAAAACCCATGTGGTCATCTACTTCTCTTCCATAGGTAAAATGACTAGTATTAAAGAATTAGCATTGAAGCCAGGTATGGTGGCACATGCCTGTAATCCTAGCACTATGGGAGGCTGAAGCAGGAGGATCACAAGTTTGAGCCTAGCCTGGAAAATTTAGATCCTGTCTCAAAATTCTTTTTAAAAATTTTTTAAAGGGCTGAGGATATAGCTCAGTGTGAAGACCTTGGGTTCAATCCCCAGTATAACAAAAACAAAATGAAACAAAACAAAACAAATCCTCTAGCACTGTACTTGGACTAAACTGTGATTCTAACAATGGGGTCCTTTCCCAAGTCAAAAGAAAAAATTGTTGAAAAGAAAGTCTCTTTTGGGGTCTTCTGACACAACTTGTTTTATCATCTTTGGATCCTGTTTCTGTTTACATTGGGGGATAAAAGAAAAAACAGGCAGAAGCCAGGCATAGTGGCTTGTACCTGTAATTCCAATATTAGAGAGGCTAGGGCAGGAGGACTGTGTGTTCAAGATCAGCCTGGGCAATTTAGCAAGGACCCTGTCTCAAAAAAAAAAAAAAAAAAAAAAGAGCAGAAACTTATATTTGTTCTTGTTATGATCATAGAAAACTTGTTTTTTTGTTTTGTTTTGTTTTTCTGATACCAGGAATTGAATTCACAACCTTGCACTTGCCAGGCAGGCACTGTGCCACTAAGCTAAATCCCCAGCCCCTGATCATAGAAAACTTTCACGTGCTGTAATTCAGAGAGAGAGAGAGATTTGGAGAGAGAAAGAGAATGAGAATATCTCACTATGTTGCCTCAGGCTGGTCTAGATTCTAGCGATCCTCCTGCCTCAGCCTCAGCTAGGACTGCAGGCACACACCACAGCACCCAACTCGTCCTATTTTCTATATTTTATTTCTTGGATTGGGATCCTACACAGACTTCAACTCAACTCATATCTTCCATTGCAAAGGAGTCTTTCGCTTTTATGACAGACTCATGATGAGACACGATTGATCCATGGGGTTCTGATCAGTCACTGCTCATCACACAGTGTTGTGCAGAAAGCATTTGAATTCTCGGTCCTCTGCTGCAGACACCCAACCTGCTCCTTCTCTGGTTCCTGTGCAATACAGGTTGGTCTCCTGCAGCTGGAGCCTGGAGAGCAGAACTGCTGGCAGAGCAGCAGCAGGGTGGCTTTCTCTAATGGGCGGAGCTGCTCCAGGCCTCCCCAGCTGCAGACTTTCCAAGCACAGTGCCTCTTGCTGCAAGGTCCCTGTGTCCCCTCCACAGCCAGCGTCTCTGAGTGCTTCCCATGCGTGAGGTACATGAGCCAGACACCTCCTTGAACTCTACCACACTCAGCAAGGCAGGTATCAGCAGTGTTTCTGTCTTACAGACAAGGTACCCAAGCCCTGTACAGGCTAATCGGTGAACCTAAGTCCTGAAGAAAGCAGGAGAGAGCAGGAACCTCTGCCCCGTGTCAAAGCCAGCGCTCCTAACCAATGCTGCAGGAGGAAAACCAGGAGTAACCAAGGGTGCCAGAGTCCCCGTCTGCCTGTGAGGAATGTTCCCCACAGCATGGATCCCTTTTGCTCTTGTTATGGCTGCTATGTAAAAGACATAACACCAACTTTCTATGTATTATTAAAACTGTAAACATACATAGAAGAAATTGGTATATTTAATACCATATATCATTATTTAGCATCAATAGTTATCAGCATGAGGTCAATCTTGATTCATCTATTACCCACTCTGCCCTCTTACCTCAATGGATTATTTTATTTAGTGTTTTTTGGTTTTTTTTAAAGACAGGATCTTTCTGTGTAGCTTAGGTGGCCTCAAGGCTAAGGTGATTTTCCTGCCTCAGCCTCCTGAGTGCTGGCATCCCAGGCGTGCACCACCACACCTGGCTCAAAATAGATTATTTTAAAGCAAGGTCAAGACACTTAACAATATGTAAAACAACAACCATTGATAATTTCCTACCACTTTGTCTGTAATTCGGTAAGCCCCCCTATTACTATGTTATCCTTCTTTTATTGTTTAAAATAATAATAATAAAAAAAAGACACTATGTCATTTCATAGTGTATGTATGCCTTTAAGCCAGGATTTATTGGGGTTGAGGGTGTAACTTAGGTGTTTGATCCCTAGCACTGAAAATAAAAAACCCTTAAGAAATGTTACATAACAAAAACTATTATAATGCCTAAAACAATAAAAGGAATTATTTACTATCAGCTAATACTCAATGTTCAGATTTTCCTGATTATCTCATGAACATTCTTTTATAGTTGATCTGCTTAAATCAGGATCCAAACAGTGTTTGACTGACATACCTCTAGGTGTCTTCTACTCAGTTACATTTCCTCCTTTTATTTTCCCTGCTTTTTTTGTTTGTTTGTTTTTGTTTTTTTCCGGTACCGGTAATCGAACTCATGACGTCGCACTTGCCAGGCAGGCGCTTTTGCCGCTGAGCTAAATTCCCAGCCCCATTTTTTTTTTTTTTTTTTTTTTTTTTTTTTTTGTCTTTTTGAGACAAGATCTCGCTATGCAGTTCAGGCTGGCCTTTAGCTCACTTTGTAGCCCAGGCTGGTCTCGAACTGGCAACAATCCTCCTGCCTCAGCCTCTCAGGTTGCTGAGCTTATAGGCGCTTGATACCATGCCTAGCTGAACATATAACTTTTTGAAGTTAGGAAACAAAAACCTGTCCCTTTTCTGGTGCTGGGAATGGAATCCAGAGCTCATGCCTGCCAGCCATGTGCTCTACCACTGAACTATACTCCCAGTGGTACTTTAAAAAATAACTCTTAAAAGGAAAGACCTGGCCTTGGTGGAGTTTTCATGCGGATGAGAAAGCTAACTGTGGTTGGTTTCTTTGTTTTGTTTTTTTTTGCTACTGGGAATCAAACTCAGGACCTTGCACAAGCCAGCCAGGTGCTTGCTTATGCCACTGAGCTGTATCCCTGGCCCCACTAACTGTGGTTAAAATGCCGCCCTCCCCTATTAAAATTCACAGTGACCACGCAGGCCCCGTCCATACCTCAGGAAGTGGTCATTCAGCTCCTTCAGGTGACTGTCAAAATAGTCCCATTCACTACAGTGGAGCCGGGTCAGCTGCTCGAGGTGGTCCTTTCTCTTCTTCATGTTGCTCAAGGACAGGCTGATGATGTCGGCGTAGGTCAAGGTGGATTCAGTGGTTCTCAAGGTCAAGGAGAACCCCCGCTTGGGCTGTACAGACCCTGCCTTATTAGCGGCCTGAGCCTAGTGTGGGGGCTGGGGATGGGAGGGCAGGGGCCAGGGGCCGCACCCTGACTTTGTGGGGTTTCCGGATGTGAGTGCTGTGCTCTGAGCAGGCGACAGCCCCTTGCTGTGTGGCCATGGCCTGCTTGGGAAGGACGGCTGTCCTCTTCCCACCTGGAATACAGCCTTCTCCCTCTGCCCCTGCTGACGGGAGGGAGCTGGGAGGCAGCATCGCACTGCGGCCGGGAGTTCCGGCTGCGAGGTGAATCTGAAGAGACCCAGCTCTCCTCTGCTTTCAGAAGCTCCACCTCAGGCCTGAGTGTTGAAGAAGTCTCTCTCTGTTCCGCCCTGCCTCCACTCTTTCCTCAAGGGTTAGAGTCTCAGCTACAGTTGTCACCAGCTGTGGGAGCTCAGACAAGACATCTATCATCCTCTCTGTTGCCACTTCCTTATCCATAAAGTAGGGGCAAACCGGGTGTGGTGGTGCATACCTGTAATCCCAGCACTGTGGAGGCTGAGGCAGGAGCATCACTGTGAGTTTGAGGCCAGCTTGGACTACATGGTAAGCTTAAGGCCAGGATCAACTACAAAGTGAGACCCTGTGTCAAAAAACAAACAAACAAACAACAAGGATATGGGATGACCTTGGTCCTTTCCCTCCTGGTTATCAACGCGTCCTGGCCATGCTGGTACAGCCGGGAGTAGTTGTGAAGGAAGTACATGACCAGAGGGCTCTTCCCATAAATGTTGAAGAGGTTTGAAGTCAGCGGAGGGCTTTTGCAGGCTGGGTGGGACTGAGGAATGAAAGGAAAAGAAAGTGTATCGTCATTTATACAGCATGTGTTAGGAAACTTAAAGGTACCCATGTCCTTTGTCCTTTAACTCCAGTTTTAAGGCTACATTCTAAGAAAATGATCAAAATAAAGAGAAACTTTAGGCACCAAGATGCCTACTATATGGTGGGACATGCCTGTAATCCTAGCACTCGGGAGGCTGAGGCAGGAGGATCACTGTGAGTTCAACACCAGCCTGGGCTACAGAGTGAGCTCAAGGCCAGCCTGAACTGCAGAGTGAGACCCTGTCTCAAAAAGACCAAAAAAAAAAAAAAAATGTCTACTGTAGAATATTTACTAAATGCAGGAAAAGATTTTGAATAAGCTAATATCCAAGGAAAAGATACTGATAGCTTTACCCAAGGGACTAGGAGACCACTACTGAGATATTTACAGTGCTGGGGAGGTAGCTTAGCGCTTGCCTAGCACATGGAAATTCCTGGGTTTGATCCCCAATGCAGAAAAAAAAGTTTATGAAGCACTGATAGCTTTAAAAAAGTTTCAGGTAAAAATTGAGATGCCAAATTGAACAGGTCATATTATATATTTATTGCCAGGCATGGTAGCACATGTCTATAATCCCAGTACTTGGAAGGCCGAGGCAGGAGGACCTTCATAAATTCAAGGCCAGCCTGGACTACAAAGTGAGACCCTGTTTCAGAAAAAAAAGAAAAAAAAGGCAACCCCCCATATTATATATTTATTAAATACAATTATATGAAATAAACCAGTAAATAGAAAAGATGAATTAAAGCCTGGAAAGGTATTTATTAAAACGTTAACAATTCACATAGCAAATATTTGCTGAGTGATTACTATACGTACACATCATTTTATCTTTTTTTTTTTTTTCCCGGTACTAGGAATCAAACTCATGACCTTGTGTTTGCCAGGCAGGCGCTGTACCACTGAGCTAAATCCCCAGCCCCTCATACACATCATTTTAGACACTGGGGATTCAGCAGAGAACAAGATAAATCCTAGGCAAGCAATAAATAAATCCACCGATGAAGAGTAACAAGATTCCGTGTACAATAACCAGCACCAAGGTGGCCATGGGGTTGATGGGTGGAAGGGAGGACTGAGTTCTGGGGCGTTCAAGGAAGGCCTCCTTGTCTTGGGAGGTAATAGCCCAGCAGGTCCCATGGTGTAAGGTGGGCAAGCCAAAGCAGTTCTGGATAGAGGGGACAACAGATGCAGCAGACCCTGGGGCAGATGTGAGCTCATCATGGCCGAGAGACAAAACCCAAGGCCTGTGTGGCTCAGATGGAGCCTGAGAAGCAGGAAGAAAGGATGAGCCTGTGGAGTGTGGTCGTGGTGTTAGGGTTTTCTTCTAAGAGTGACGAGAGCTCCTGGAGGTTTTGAGTTGGGTACCACATGATGTGATTGAGTTCTCACCAAGGTCGCTGATGGATATGTGAGGGAATGACATAGGCAGAGCGTTCTGCCACCCTCCTGTCCAACTGTTGGACATGTTCACTCATCTCCTCCCTTCATGCCGACCACCAGCCTTGAGAGAGCTTAGAGCCATAACATTGCTGGGCTGCACTTTCCCATTTTCTACACAGTCAGACAAGCTAATCTGTACAAGCAGTGGAGCTGGTGAGAAGCAGCACCAAAATTTGAACCCGTGTCTGTCTGTCTGCCCCCCATGACCTTCGCCTTCACAATAGTTCCATGCCAGATTCTGAGGAGAAATAGGCAGTGGTAATTGGCGTGCAGAAAAGGTTCAAAAACTCTACAGTCCTTGATCTTTGGCCCCAATTTTAGGCCCAGCTCCTCTGTTAGCCGGTGCTAGCGGAAGACCTAAAACCCTTTCAGTGCCCTAAGGACCTCTTCCTACTGTCTGAGGTGGGAGGTGTCACCGGCAGACGTGACCGCTTGGTGAGGTTTGTGGGAAAGACGGGGGACTGCGGAGAAGAGCAGACACATTCACCTCGCACCTCTCACATGCTGGGGACAGTGCTGGTGGCAACACTCAGTGGTTAAGAGCTCAGGGTCAGAGCCAGCCAGGTCTGCACACAAGCCTTGGCTTTATCCCTCGGTATATGATCTTGGCTAAATTAGGTACCTCCTCTCAGCATGTCTTTCGTCACTAATAAACTCAATTACAGGAGTAACCGCAGCAGAGGACCATGGCAGCAAAATACTGTGTGTAGACTAAGGTCTAACATAGTGCATGAGGTATGCTGAATGCTCATTAAATGTTAATTATTGCCGTCACCTCAGGTAAATCCCCTAACAACATCATGACCTAGGGATGATAGTCAGCACTCCTTTCCATTGCTTGAAGGCTCCTGGGTTTCCCACAGAGAGCTTGACACTGGAGAATACCAGACAAAATGCTCTGTCAGTGGTGCCTAAATCACTCAGGAATTGTCCTCAGGAGACTTCCTGAACATCACCTGAGTTTCCAGCCAGAAAAATCTCAGTCCTCACCCTGACATCTTTAGAGAGTTAGGTGTTTATTTTATTTTATTTTATTTTATTTTTGAGACAGGATCTTGCTATGCAGTTCAGGCTGGCTTCAAACTCACTTTGTAGACCAGGCTGGCCTTGAACTTGCAGAGATCCACCTGCCTCAGCCTCCTGAGTGCTGGGATTACAGGCATGCACCACTACGCCTGGCTAGAATTATGTTTTTAAATCACCTAGGTTGCTGAATTTCCAGTCATCTGCTCACCTGTTTAGAAAACTTCTCACAGTCTCTTGCTGCTGATATCCTCTTGACTTGCTGTGTAGCTTTCCTCAGGAGCAGGGTCTCACCATGATGATGGTCTGTCCGAGTGATACACCAACAAAAACAGTAACAACAGAAAGAATCATTGGGTTTCCCAGCAGTATGGGAAAGATCACATGGCAGATCTCAGTTTCCTAGAACCTAGAAGGATTCCTACAGTGCATGGCTACAATCAGATTATTCTAAGACACTAGAAGATGTAGCTATGATAAATTCATATGATTTTACTTGTCTTTTAGCCAGATATACACCTGCAAACCATGTCTGTCCATTTAGTGATCTATCCACCCATCTATCCTTCCATCCAACCAGTATTTTCTGAACATCTACTATATACCAGGCCCTTACTTGGTGCTAGAAATAAACCATCTTCAAGGATCTCACAGTTTAATGGGGTAAAAAGACATGTAGATCATAAGTGCAATGCTCAGTGCCATAATAGCATTGTCTATAGGATACAGTGACAGCCGCAGAATAAGGAAGGAGAGCCCTAACGGCCAAAAATGCTAAGCAGCAACAGGATGGTGGTTGTGGTTAAGAGAGGAAAAAGTACAACTCTTGCACAAAAGCATGGTTTTAAGCAGGAGAAGGTTAACAGAGAAAATCTTAAAGACTAGTAGAGAAATAACTAATCATCTGTACATAGATCATTAGAATGGTGGCACAGTTCTCAACAGTAATAATGGAAAGCAGAAAACAATGGAATAAAATTACCCAAGCATGGATTGAAAAATAACTGTTAATCCAGATTTATATACCCAGCAAAACTATCCTTCAAGAGTAAAGATGAAGCCAGGCGTGGTGGGGCAAGCCTGTAATTCCAGCACTCGGGAGGCTGAGGCAGGAGGATAATTGCAAGTTTGAGACCAGCCTGGGATACAAAGTGAGCTCAAGGCCAGCCTGAACTACACAGCAAGACCCTGTCTCAAAAAAAGATTTTAAAAAAAGAGCAAAGATGAGAGCTAGGCATGGTGGTGCATGCCTGTAATCCCAGCACCGGGGAGGCTGAGGCAGGAGGATCATTGTGAGTTCAAGACCAGCCTGGGCTACAAAGTGAGCTCAAGACTAGCTTGAACTGCATAGTGAAACCCTGTCTCAAAAAGATAAAAAATGAAAACAAAACAAAACAAAAGAGTAAAGATGAAATAAAGGCATTTGCAAAACAGCAAAAATTAAGGGGCTTACCAAGAGATCTGTGAAAAACTACTAAAGATTCCATGCATGTGTACTTTTGTCCAGAAAGAAGGAAAAGGATCTCATAAGATGGGCTGACCTTCAATAAGATGACAGAAAAACAAACCAAAACTACCTATAACAATAATAGTAACAGTATCATCTAATTTGTGGGTTTTAACATTGGACAGAATTTAAAGTGTTAGACAAAAAAAAAATACCATTAAATAGGCGGGGTGCTTAGAGCTAAACTGGTCTAAGGTCTTTGTTTTGTTCAGGAAAGGGGTTGGGTTAAAGTCTTATTTAGCTTTAGATAAAGGCATATGATAAAGCAGTAGTAGTTTCTTAGTCTTGGCACTGCCGTTTGGGGCAGATGGCTTTGTTGTGGGAGACTGTCTTTTGCTTTGGAGGACATTTAGACGTTCTTGACTTCCACCCATGAAATCCCAGTTGAACTTTCCTTGAATAGTGGCAACTAAAAATGCATTCTGACATCACTAAGCATTCCTTGTGGGGAAAACTGCCCTTGCTTGAGACCCACTGCAATAAAAAATATAAACAGAATATATAATTTCTCCCAAAGTAGGGAAACTAGAACAGAATCAGAAAAACAGAATCAACAGAACCATCAGGGTTCTGGCTTAGGTTGAGATGAGGAATAAACACTCAGCCCAGTTTCTTTTTTTTTTTTTTTTTTTGGTTTTTCTCCGGTACCCGGGAACCGAACTCACGACCTTGTGCTTGCCAGGCAGGCACTTTGCCGCTGAGCTAAATCCCCAGCCCCTCAGCCCAGTTTCTTGCCACATGCAGCTAAGATCCTCCTGCCTCAGCTTCCTGAGTACTGGAATTCCAGGCTTATGCCACCGTGCCAACTTTTAACAGATTTTTTGAAAAATAATTATCATACTAATTTCTCTGAGCCTCTATTTCTCCCTCAAGAAAAAGATAGCAAGAGGCCAGGGATTTAGCTCAGAGGCAGTGTTCGCCTGGCAAGCATGAGGTTGAGAGTTCAATTCCCAGTACCAAAAAAAAAAAAGGTAGTTTACATCTTTATTTTTTTATTTTTTGTAGTTTACATCTTTAGAAGATGACGTGTAAAGTTACTGAGAGTTCTTGCTCTAATCGTGTTTCTGGATCATGCACTGTCTATGGGGCATCTCTCCTGCAATCCAGAGGCTATATGGTGAGCTAACTCTCCTTTCTCCTTTCTCTAATTCTTTCATACCATGCCAGTGCTTGCCCTGCCCTGAGTCAGCCCCAGGCCAGAAGCTGGCTGGTCAGGGAAAGCCTTCTGTCTGCAGCCTGAAAGCACAGAGCCTAGCATGGTGCCAAAGCTGTCATCACAAAAGTGAAACTTAATTGGTATCAAGACCACTGCTTGATAGTAGAAAAAAGCTACAAAAAATGGCTTTTGCACCAGATAGCTCACTTGAGATGTTAGTAAGAATTGCCTCCTCAGTATTTTATGGCCATGACAAGGAGGCGGCCAAGGAGAGAAAACAAAGAGACCAAGAAAAAACAGCTGCCCTTGTTGCAGCACTAAGAGAAAAAGATCCTAAGTCTGATTCCCGGGGCCCCAAGAAGAACTCGTCAACTACATTCATCTGCTACTGCTGTCAAAAACCAGGCCACCTCAAGAGGGACTGTCCTAAGAAGCCCCCTGGGCCATGCCCTGACTAAATGTGACCACTACAGGTTGGACTGCCCTCTGAAGCGAAGGCCCCAGAGCTCAGACCCATCCTACCAACTGGTCCAACAGGAATGAAGGGGCCTCAGGCATACTCTGCCTTCTCCCTCTGGCCAGACTGTCATCTCCATGGAGGAGCCCTGTGTAAATATAACTATAGAGGAAAAAGTAAACAGCCTATGGCTGGACACTGGTGCAAGTCTCTCGGTCCTTCTTTTCAATCCTGGCCTTCTTTCCAGTCATCACACTTCAGTGAAAGGAGTGACTGATGAGGAGGTAATCTGTTATTTTTCACAACCCTTAGGCAGTAACTACCTGTTAGGTCTTTCTTGCATATCTTTGTTTTGAGAAACCACTTTGAAGATACCAACATGTATTACAGCAGCCATTGATAATTTCCTACCAATCTGTCCATAACTCTGTAATGTCTGTATTGTTTCTATGCTATTTTGTAAATGGATGTATGTTTATTACTATATGTTTTCAACAACTGTTGTGAATAGTCAATGATTATTTAACTGATCACTCATGTATAGCTCTATTTGTTTTCCCTAGAAACCACTTTGAAGAAACCAAAGTATAGTACAACAACCATTGATAATCTCCTACCATTTTTGTCTGTAACTCACTATTATTTGTGTATTTGTTTTCCTGAGAAACTATCTTGAAGATACCAATAGGTAAAATAACAACCATTGATATTGTCCTACCATTTTGTCTGTAATTTGGTAAATCCCCCTATTATTATGTTATCCTTCTTTTACTCTTTTAAAAAAAAAAAAAAAAAAAAAAAGACCACTGCTTGGCCCAAGACCCAGGCTAGAACCTAAGGGTAAGGCAAATTATGTTCAAGCAAACCCAAGCATTTAAGGCTGTGGAAATAATACCCAAGGCAAAAGCCACTGTACCTTTCACGGAGCTCTGGCTTCGGAAGCTTCCTTCTGAATGATGGTGGGCGGAGAAGACTCTCCCATTGGCTGAATATATACTAGAAAACTCCAGGGAGGAGGAGAGGGGAGGAACAGGGTTAGGAAGATTGGTAACGGAATACATTGTGGAATACGTAACGGAGAGGAATACGTGCGGTGCCTGAGATAGGTTTCATGATTCTTAGCAAAGGACCCGCAGAAGGATAATCCCAGGAGCTCAGCAGAGACTGGGGACTTACGTGGCCATCACATGGGCTGGGAGGAGGCACAATGGAGGTCCAGGCCCCACTGTCACTCAACAGAGGGTGACCCTGGGCAAGTCATCGAACCCATGTGCTGCCTGGGTTTCCCTAAGGGTCATATCAGCTAATGATACGGAGGGAATATCAACTAGGATAATGTTCAGATGGGCATGACACACACTCAAAGTAACGGTGGCTAAAAGGAGATAAAAGTTGCTTTCTCACATAAAAGTCTGAAGGTTGCAAGTCACATGGTGTCACTGTTGTACTAAGCCTTCAGGGACTGTGACCTCTTTCAGCTCCTGGGTCTACTTTTCCTAAAATAGGACCCTTGTCCTCTGGTCCAACATGGCAGCTGGAGCTCCAGTCATCACATTCACTTTCCAGGCAGCAGTTGGAAAGAATAAAGAGATGCAGAAGGAAGGTTCCCAGAAACTGCCCCGGGGTGCAATCATTTTATCTCATTAACTGCATCTTAGTCATGTGGCTATCACAGATGCTCGGGAGGCTGAGACCTATAGTCTATTCTGGCCAGCTACAGACTCCACTAAAAATGAGAGGTTCTCTTTTTAGAGATGAAGAGGACGACAGATATTGGGGAACAACTCCTACTCTGTCACAAGCAGTGTGAGAGCAGCGTGAGGAGCCAGAGCGGGGAATGCTGGATTCTGCCTTGGAGGGCTTCCAAGGAGAGAAGGAAGACATATTCATTCTGTCTTGAAGGACGAGTAGGAGTTTGGCAATGATAAGCAGATGGTCCCTCAAGTGACAAGTGGCAGACAAGCAGTCCACCAGCCTTAACAACAAGCGCTTTGCTTTTTTAGAAATGAGATGTTTGAATGGGCAGGAGAGACCCGAAAGCTCTCCCCTACACCAGGCAGCGGGTGCCTGACAGCAGAGGGATTTTTATAGCATTGAGGTGGTCCTGGGATTTGTTAGAAAACATGCTCGCTTGCTTGGGGCTCTGGGAAGCACTGGCCTGATACAGATCGGTATCAGAGCTTAGCATGAGGTAAGAAGGGGAAGGGAGAACCTTCTGTCTGCCCGAGAAGTCCTGCGCAGATGTGGGTCTTTTTTGTGTGTATGGTACTGGGAATTGAATCCAGCGCCTTTGTACTGAGCCGCATCTCTCCTCTTTTTTATTTTTTATTTTGAGACAGGGTGGGCTGGAGCTTGCAATTCTCCTGCCTCAGCCTCCCACAGTGCTGGGATTATAGGCCTGCACCACCATGCCTGACTGATCATGTTTTGACATGGGAAGAAATTGTTCTCTTTCTAGTTTTCCTACACTGCTGGGCTCACCTTAAAGTGAACAACTTCAAATAGAAAGGATCAGTGTTTGAGGAGATAGAAATGCTGATTACTCTGATTTGATTCTGACACACCGTATAAAAATGTATTATAGTTCACAAAGATGTGCGGATGTGTCAGTTACATTTTTCTCTAAAAGTTAACAATCAAAATTGTACTTGAGGGGCCAGAGATATAGCTCAGCAGCACAGCGCCTGCCTGGCAAGTGTGAGGTCGTGAGTTCAATTCCCCGTACTGAAAAAAAAAATTCTACTTGATTGCTTTCCTCCACCCCAAGCTCTGCACTTTGAATCTCAGTAAACAGCACCGTTGAGTTCTGAATGAAGCTGCACACCGGGGAGCATCCTCGAACCCTGTCCTTTCTCTCCCCTCTGGTCCTAACCACTCCCTTGGTTACCCCACAAGCAGATGCCGAGCATCTGTCTCCCAAACGCATCACAGGTCTGTCTGATCCTGCCTCCCACCACCGCTGCTTCTGTGCCCCTCCAGCACCATCTCTATATTCAGAAGACATTGGGATCTCTAAAAACCATACATAGGATCATGTTGTCCCCCTACTTTAATGGCTCCTCATACAACACCTAGATTATGTCCACAATGCTTACTTCACCCTCTGAACTCTGCAGCATCCAGACTTTGTCTATGTTCCCAGCCTTGACTCCCGTCTCTCTTCCCTTCATGCCCTGGGGCTCCTTTGCATTGGCCTTCTCTCTTCCCTGAATATCTCAAGCTCTTTACTTCGTTGCCTCAGGACCCTTGCACACGCTGTTTGCCCTTCCTGGAAGTCTCTTCCATTCACTCTCCCTTTGGCTCTCAGTTCAAATGGCATCTTCTAGGGGGCATCTTTTTTTACACGTGTGCTCTTCCCTGTCCACATACGTGAGACCCACACCCCCAGCTAAAAAAGGCTTAAGTTGCTCTCCCAGCTTCCTTTGAGGTTAAGGTGCAGACATTTCACTGGGCGCCTATCCTTCCAAGGCTCTGCGCCTGTCTGAGACATCAAGAGAGAAATGGGCACCATGTGGACTCCAGTGTGAGGGGAGGCTATTGAAAGCGAGTGAAGTTTTAGCAGCTCATGCCCGGCATGTAGCTCTGGAGGGGCTGTGGCTTGGGCGGCCTTTTGGGCAGTGTGGCCCTGGAGCTAAGGTGCTGGCCTTTCCTGGGACACAGCAAACCACCATAGCCTTAGCATATTTCTCTTCCTTTTTTCTTTTCTTTTTTCTTTTTTCCTTACTTTCTTTTTTATTTTTAAAAAATTTATGTATTTATGTTTTTATTTATGTATTTATTTTTGTCTGTTTGAGACAGGGTCTCACTATGCAGTTCAGGCTGGCCTTGAACTCACTTTGTAGCCCAGGCTGGGCTCAAACTCACAGCGATCCTCCTGCCTCAGCCTCCCGAGTGCTGAGATTACATCACCATGTCCGGCTCCTTTGAACATTTCTTTCAGCTTCTAGTAGCTGGAGTGGATTCTGTTGTTTGCAAGTAAGAACTGCACTGACGATTTCTCCTAACAGAGACCACGGTCCGCCATCTTCCTTACAATTCAGTGAACGAACAACTCAGGTCTAACAGAAGCTACATAGATGGTTGGATAGCTTTTTATTCCCTATGCAAATCCTCAGCGCTTACACAAAGGGAAGGCAGACAGCAGAAGGAAACTTCAACCTGTTCCCCTGCCCTCTGGACTCTTAGCAGGTGGCCGCTGTTGAGAAGCATATTTTGAACCCGGCCAGCAACTTCACTGAGCAGACAGGAGGATGAGCCTGCTGGAGGAACCAGAAGCTCCGTCTCCGCTACAGAATCCAGTCACTCGCTCCATCCTGGTTTGCCTTGAAATTTTCAGCTGCTTTCAAGGTACCAGGGTTTTTGATTCTGCTTATTTCTGGGGCAGAAAATGGACTCTCCCAGCACGGCTCCTGCAATAACTCTCAGAAGGTTTCGTGCATTTTGGTATAAAGGGGATACGCTTGTTTCAGGGGGTTGGTTGCCACAGGCAGCACCCAAACACTGGGTAATATTTGGATCTTGGTCTCTGAGTGACAGCCGTCCTTCGGCAGCACCTGTTCTGTCTGTGCTGATGTCTACGGAGAGCCGCTGTATGTTAAGCACAGGACTGAGAGTTTCTGTAGATCTCATTCATCAGCCGGGCATGGTGGCGGACACCTGCAATTCCAGCTCTTAAGAAGCAGGAGGATCGCAGCAAGTCCAAGGCCAGCCTCAACTATACAGCAAGAGCCTGTCTAAAAAAAAAAAAAGGATCTCATTTATGAAGTGTGGAACTCTGTGTCAAGGATAGCAGTGGAGGAAACAGAGACCCTGCTTCCAGGGAATCTCCATTCTCAGAGGGCTTCTGGACGACACCACACTCAAAGGACAAATGGCAGCCTGTGACCAGCACCATACAGAGAACAAAGGCGCTACATTGTGAGGATGCGCGGCTGGGAGTTGGGAGCAACTTGCGTGGGACGATGACTGTGGAGCTGGAACCTGAGGGACAAGGAGGAGCCAGCCCACTCTGCTCCAAGGAACCAGACAAAAGCATGGCCAGGGAAAGGTGATGATGAGCACAAAGGCCACCTGGGCATAGGCCTGGAGCGGCCGAAGGCAGAAGGACATCCAGTGGGCCAACTGTTGGATGGAAAGGGAGGGAATGGATGGGCTGCTAGAGAGAGAAGCACTGGCTCCTAGCACTCTCTCTGGGAGGCTGAGGCAGGAGGATGGTAAGTTGGAGCCCAGCCTGGGCAACTTAGTGACTTTGCAAGACCCTGTCTCAAAATAAAAATGGCTGTGGATGCAGCGCAATGTGAAGGCATTGGGTTCAATCCCTAGTACTGCAAATTAATTTATTAAATAAAAGTTAAAAAGCATAAGTTGAGCCCAGTGGTGTACACCTGTAATCCCAACTACTCCTGAGGCTGAGACAGGAGGATCTCGAGGTAAAGCGCAAACTGGGCAACTTACCATAGTGACTTAGTGAGATCCTGTCTCAAAATAGAAAGTGAAGAAAGGGCTGGCCACATGTAGGCCAGTGTGAAAGCTCTGAGTTCAGTCTCCAGTACAAAAGAAAAAAAAAAAGAAAAAGAAAAACAATAAAGCACAGCATTGGAAATGGACACTTTGGTATCACAAATGGGGATGCTGACCCATTGCTTAAAGATGAGTGGTCAGACAGCCACGGTCACAGTCACTGCATGAGTGCTGTGGCAGAACAGGCCACGGGCACCGACGAAGAGGAACCCCATCCAGACCAGAGGGCTGAGAAGGCCAACGTCACGCGTGAGACCGAAGGGGAGCAGTGTCTGCCACCCGTGGCTGGCACCGTAGCTCCGTGGTACAGTGCTTGCTCAGCACGCATGAGGTCTGAGTTCGCTCTTCAGCACTACACACAGAAAAAGAAGAAGTCACCCCTAACTATGCCATTTTGGCACAGGGATTATTTGGAGCCGAAGGTGAGTAGGAGGCTCCCAAGGCTGGAAAAGCTCTCTAACATCCCCATCCTGTGTGAAAGCAGGATTGCTGTAGTCAGGGTGTGCACAGGGAACAATTTCATACAGGAAACATAATTTATAGGATTATTTTATAGCAGTCATGTACAAAAGAGTGCAGAAAATCTGTCCACACACTAGAGACCAAAGAAGCCAGCTAAGGGCCTGGATCCCACAGCAATGTCCTGCACGAGTCCAGCTGAAGATCTAGAGCCCACGACAGTGCCCCCCACGAGGGGCGCTTGTGCAGGCACACAGGCGGGGGCAGGGGGAGTAGGTGTTGGGTGACCGGCCTGCTCTAGGCTGGCTCGAGTACTAAAAGGGACACAAGGAAAAGCACCGCACCCTGCAGCCCACATCCAAGGGCTAGGTCTGCTCCTGTCCTCCCCAGCCTGCGTCAGGGCACCACTTCTCCATGGGCCACCTGAGAAGGCGGGGTAGACCGGAGCAGGGCCCAGCGATGTGCCACCAACAGGAGGTGCCGATGCTCCAGGGAACCTGCGGTTTCTGTAGCCGCTTACCGGAGTGTGGTGGGGCTTCTGGCTCTGGACCACCTTGTGCACAGAGGCTCTCTTAGAGGAGAACACGGATAACCCTCTTCCTAGGAAGGGAGACAGCAGTCATTAGTCCCATCTGGCCACCAGGAGCCTTGAGGCAGCCTGTGCAGGAGCCCCGGGGACACACAGCTGTGAACAGTCTTAGGCAAACTGCAGCCCGCCTGTGCACGCCTTGCTGCGAGACCTTGGGTGAGTTACCTCACCTCTCTGATCTCGCAGCACACAGCAAGGGAAATACTGCCCTTGAAAGATAAAGTCAGGACCCTGCATAATCAAAATGAGCATTGGGCTAGATGTTTAAAATCTAGCAAGCTCATATGCTTCACGAAGATACCATTAAGTTTGAGGATAGCAATTCTGGAACTAAACAACTGAAGACAACTTTATGGGTTACATTTTTTTCCACTTTGAAAGAAATATCCCCCTGTGGGCATGATGGCTGCTGGGAAAACAAATCAGGTGTAAATGGTTAGAAAAGTGGCCGATGACATGGCATCTGTTATAATGCCATGCATGGTGGTGCACACCTGTAATCCCAGCACTTGGGAGGTTGAGGCAGGAGGATCGCTGAGAGTTCAAGACCAGCCTGGGCTACAAAGTGAGCTCAAGGCTGGCCTGAGCTGCATAGCGAGACCCTGTCTCAAAAAGACAAGGAAAAAAAAAAAAAAAGACAGTGGCATCTGTTATAATTTCCAGAGGTGGCCTCCTGGCCCTTTGGCTAAGACCAGATACCCTAGAACTCACAGACAACAGCTGCCCAGCTTCTCCGACTCACCTGTGCTGGGCTGGGGTGCTGCCCTTTCAAATGACTGTCACCACTCCCTCAAAGTTTTTTTTTAGCCAGGCGTGATGGCACACCCCTGTAATCCCACCACTCTGCGAGGCTGAGGCAAGAGCGTCACAAATTCAAGCTCAAGTGGAGCAATTTAATAATTTAGCAACTGAATGAGACCCTGTCTCAAAATAAAAAGTAAAATGGGTTGCTGGGTATATAGCTCAGCAGGAAAGCCCTGGGTTCAATCCCCAGCATTAAAAATAAAAAATTGATCTTGGGGAAATTTCTCCTTTCAACCGTAGCCTCTATGACATGGGTTTAATGTGTCCTCCAACAGGTTGTCATGAGGATGAAATAAAAGAGAAGCCAGCATTGCTGTGGGCACTTTGGAGACACCCTCTAACAAATCTACCTCTATCTGAAGAAAATCCCCCTCCCTACCTCCCATCTACTGTGTGGTACGGACTCTTACCTACAGTTCATAGCACTGACAGGTCAGGCATTTTGGTGCGGCCAGTGAGACAGAACCTGGCCCGGGAACATCTACCCCACAGCCCTCCCTGCCTCCGTACAGGTGGTTGGTGTAGCAGGGGGCAGAGGGGACAGGAGACCACACATCTCACCCTTTATCAGGCGTCTTCTCTGTGACAATAACTCTTCTCTCCGGAATCTCTCTGGATCCAGCTCTGAGTAGTCCCAGCTCTGATAGCTCTGTGGGCAAGGATATGTCCCTAAGAAAAGTCCAAGTTGATTAGTGAGCACTTTTGCAAAGAGAAGGAAGGCAGCCACCCAGGACAGTGGGTGGCAGAGGCCTCGGGACCCCTGCTAGGCCCTAGGAACAGTGCCAACCCCACCTCTCCCTGAGCGGGTCACATCCTCTCCAAAGGCTAATGGTTTCTTGGTCTGCAGGAGCCCAATGCCACCTTCCCTGTTTTGACGGATGGTGTGAAGGGTCAAATCACAAGGCATGTGACAGCAATGTAGGCATAAAGGTGCAGGCACTGTTGTTTTTTGTTTCCCACCCATCTCCCCTGTGCCTGCTGGACCTGGGATCCCCAGGGCAGGGCCTGAGCCTGGCCCAGAGTGAACAGGTGCTGAGCAGGGGCTTGTTGAACGTATTGTGGCCCTTTTAGTTGCATGCCAGCAGTGGCTTCTCCCTACCCTTTGGTGGGGAGGCTCGCAAGGGTTACTTGAGAATTCTGAGCCACTGTGTAAAACTACAGGCTGTGTTGGACAGGAAAGGGGCAGGAGGTCCCCCTGGAAAGGAAGGGGACAGGAGATTCATTCCCGGCGATGAGTTGGGGGAAGGAGGTTCAGCCTTGAAGGAGCAGGGGGACTGGAAGAAGGATCAGGAAGAAGCCCAGAGAACAGGAGGTGGGGTGCCGCCATGGTCAGACCAGGCTGTGGAGCGGGCCGGTGGAGCGGCGGGTTCTGACTCCTGCTCTCAACTTGTTTGCAGTTGGGATTCTCTGGTCCTCCGTGTTAAACAGCTGTGCTAAGAAAAGTTAATACAGCAGGCTTCACACTCAGAGAGGCCTGTAAGCCTGCGCTTGGCCGGGTCTGGGAACTCGGAGGTAAATGGAGCCCGCCTTATGCTGACTGAGACTTTCTCTGCTGCAGAGCGGGCTCCCCAGGCCTCACTTTACACCTGCTCTCTCAGAATGACAATCCGCACAGACAAAGGTGTCTCCACGACGACCACTAATGGAGACCTTGACCACTGCATCCTCCGTGGGTTTCCCTGGGCACAAACACCACGTATGAGTCGGGTCGTGGCATTCAGTGCAAGACAGGCCGAGTGAGCCCTGTGGGAGCGAGGGAGAATACGGCTCCTTTGAGCTGCCCTGTCCCCTATGCCCTGGCCGTGCATCCTGTTTATCACCACTGTGATAAAGCTCAGCCAGGACTGCGCCTCTGTACTGAGATCTGCGGGTCCTTCTAGCAAATCGAGTATGGGGGGATCTCGGGGTCGCCCAATATAGCAGGACATATAAAAGTGCCTTCTTAACACAGAATCTCACAATCAGCAGCACCTCACTATCACCCTGCAGGCACCTCGCAATCAACAGCACTGGATGACCGGAGCAGGTGTGTAGGCCCGGCTGGGGAAGCGAGAGGAGGCTGAACCGGGGCTGAGAAGCTGGCTGTGGGTGCCGGAGAAGGTCATAAGTCACCTGCCTGGTTCCTGGGGCGGGGAAGGGTGAGATTATCTAATCAGCACGCCCTTCGCAGTCCATAAGGCCAGGGCACAGGGTTAACTAACAGCCATATTCTCCCTCGCTCCCACAGGGCTCCCTCGGCCTGTCTTGCACTGAATGCCACGACCCAACTCGTACATGGTGTTTGTGCCCAGGGAAACCCGCAGAGGATGCAGTGGTCAAGGTCTCCATTAGTGGTTGTCGTGGAGACACCTTTGTCTGTGCGGATTGTCATTCTGAGAGAGCAGGTGTAAAGTGAGGCCTGGGGAGCCCGCTCTGCAGCAGAGAAAGTTTCAGTCAGCATAAGAGCTGAATCTTTGATATCTTGTTAGAAAAGGACTCCACGCTTCCTCCAGGTGTGGCCGGGCTCACAAAGTGGACGAGGAAGGGAAGTCTCACAGCTGTTTTGAGGCAGCAGGAAAATCCATACTCCTTGGGGCAGTTTTGTTTTGTTTTGTTTTGTTTTGCTTAAGATGAAATCTCACTATGTAGTTCAGGCTGGCCTTGAACTCACTATGTAGCCCAGGCTGACCTCAAATCCACCTTGAATGTTTGATTACCTTGATGGAGGGATATGTGCAAATAAGAACGTACCTATGCTCCAGGGGAAAATGTTTTTCCAGAATTGCCTTCCCTGAGAGTAGGAAGCACTTCTCACCTGCAATCCACAGGCTTATGGTGTTGCAGATGTCCGACTTGAATTCATGAGTGTTGAACCAGGACTGCGGGAAGCAGCAGCAGAAGCTGGTGTACACACCTTTGCTCAGAACGAAGGGCAGCCTCTGGGGACAAGTGGAGTTCAGGCAATGTTCTCTGCATTTTTGCCCCAAGAAGAGAATCCTGACTCCAGAAAGGACCTGTGATAAAATTCTTTCGAGACCCTGAGCTGCCTTTCTCCTGCCTCAGCCTCCTAAGTCCCTGTGCCGGGACTACAGGAGGCATCCCCGTGCCAGACTACACCGTGGCTTCATAACCATGGCTGAGTTCAAATTACATATTGATAGCTGGCTTTACCCATTTAACATCATAGTACAAGTGCTTCCTCACAGTGCTATAAAATCAAAATTTTTACCCTAGCAGTGATCTTTGTAAGGTACTGCATAGATAAAATATCCAAAGTTTAACATCCTCCATCAGCAGATATTATTGTTAAAAGTCAAAAATCAGAGAGGATGAATGCATGAATGAAGGCAGTTCCTCTTGCATGCTTTTTTTCCTTTTTATTTCTTTATTTTTTTGGTTTTTTGAGACAGTCTTGCTATGTAGAGTTCAGGCTGGCCTTGAACTCACTCTGTAGCCCAGGTTGACCTCAGACTCATAGCAATCCTTCTGCCTCAGCCTCCCAAGTGCTGGGATGATAGATGTGCATCACCATGACCAGCTGCACATTCTGTTATGACCACCAGAAAACAGTATGGTGATAGCCATTACAGCAGCTGTGATACAGTGGGGGCTCGGTGTGTTCCGGGGAAGATGTCAGATACCGTACAGACAGCATCTCATTTAATTCTTAGAATAACTCAGAGAGGTATTATTATCTCCATCTTATAGGTGATACAGAGAGGCACACAAAACGTAGACGCCTTGTTTAGCCAGCACTAAACTAGCATTAAGTATCTTCCAGGGTGAGTGTGTGGATCCACTTCCCACCCACGCAGGGAAATGGCCGTTTTCCTTCCTCCTTGACTACCCTAGGAATTGTACTTGTTAATCTAGGTCACCTAACAGGTAAAAGAGGTAATGAATTACTTGGGTTTTCATTTGCATTTTTGATTATTGCTAAGGGTGACCCTTTCCCCATTCATACTTTTCCTTAGAGAATTTCTAGATTATGCACTTGTCCATTGATCTATAGGATGCCTAATTTTTTCTTATTGATTTCTAAGTTCTTTATGTCATGCAACATATCCGTCACTAGTATTTTTGCACAGTGTGTTGTTTTTTTTTTTTTTGGTTTTTTTTTTTTTTTTTTTTTTTGTTTTTTTTTTTTTTTTTTTTTTTGTTTTTTTTTTTTTTTTTTTTTTTTTCCGGTACCAGGAACCGAACTCACGACCTTGTGCTTGCCAGGCAAGCGCTTTGCCGCTGAGCTAAGTCCCCAGCCCCTTGCACAGTGTGTTTTTGCCTCTTAACTGTGTTCATAGTAATTATGTCCATAGTAATTAAAATATATAGCTATATCTACAAAGCGATCAGTATTTTCTTCCTTTTTTTGGTACTGGGAATTAAACTCAGGACCTCACGCTTGCCAGGCAGGTGCTGTGTTACTGAGCTATATCCCCGGCTCCAATATTTTCCTTTTTTTTTTTTTTTGGTTTTTTTCCGGTACTGGGAACCGAACTTATGACCTTGCGCTTGCCAGGCAGGCACTTTGCGGCTGAGCTAAATCCCCAGCCCCCCAGTATTTTCCTTTATGGCTTATTCCTTTAGGTCATATTTAGAATTTTCTTCCTCACTCCCAAATCATGTAAGATTTCACTATGGATAGCAATCCTTTAGTGCATACTTGTACACACATACATTAAAAAAAGTATATACTGTATACACACACACTTTTGATTTTAATATTATCGGCTCACTTAAACATGCCCAAAAGACATAAAATAGAAAGGGAAAATCTTCTAACTTCACTCCCCTAAGATCACCATTGTTAAGAGTTTGTTAAAACTTTTTTCCAGGTTGACAGAAAAAAAAAAAAAAAAAGCCAGGCATAGTGGCACACGCCTGCAATCCCAGCAGTCGGGAGGCTGAGGCAGGTGGATCGTCGCGAGTTCAAGGCCAGCCTGGGCTACAAAGTGAGCTCAAGGCCAGCCTGAACTACACAGTGAGACCCTGTCTCAAAAAGACCAAAAAAAAAAAGAAAAAAAAATTTTTTTTCTAGGTTGTTTTTCTGTCCCTAGGCACATATATATATATATACACTTTTTTTTCACTCATCACTTACTAATAGGGATTTATTCTTAGAAATCTGTCAATAGGTCATCTGTCACTGTGAACACCACAGAGCAGTGTGCTTACACAAATTAAAATGGCTGTGACACCCTGGCTGACCTCTCACGGGCCCACTCCCACAATACACAACCTCTCAGTGACCAAATCCCCATCACTATGTGGTGTGTGACTCTACATAATGTACAGAGTTGTACAGATGGCTTTATGTTTCACTGAAAATATGTCTTTCCCCATGAGTATATGGAGTGCTGCCCTATTTTTTGTAACCACAGCATTATAAGTCAGTGTACAAACAACATCACAACTTACTAATTTCTCCTTTACAGGAAGAATGTTAAGAGCGTTCTCTAGGGGCTGGGGATTTAGCTTAGCGGCAAAAGCGCCTGCCTGGCAAGCGCAAGGTCGTGAGTTCGGTTCCCGGTACCGGAGAAAAACCAAAAAAAAAAAAAAAAAAAAAAAAAAAGAGCGTTCTCTTGTCACTGGAGGTGACTAAAAATCTAATGTTCTGTTTTGCTATGCAGTAATTTATGCTCACTTTTGGGGGTGTTTTGTTTTTGTTTTTGTGGTACCGGCAATCAAACTCATGACCTCATGCTTGCAAGGCAGATGCCATGCCACTGAACTATATCCCCACCCCCATACTCACTTTTAAGAGTGCCTCTTCATAATGGGACCTGGGCCCGTGAAACAGAAGGAAGGTGTAGTGTCGAGCGATCCGGTCAAACAGCTTATTCTGAATCTCCTTGTTCGGCTGCCAGGAACAGAAGGGATTACTTCAAAGCATTGCTCGCATTTCCAGGGACCTTATTCTTGAGCTACATGTGCTTTACAAAGGCAGAGTATTGTTGAAGGAAGGACCCGAACTCTGGGCCAAGAGGTCCTGAGCTCTACTCCTAGCCCCACCCTTGACCAGCCACATAAAATGGACCAGCTCCTAAAGGACATGAGGTAGTGGTTGGAGCACAGGGTGAGACCTGAGTGGGGGGATGACAAGTCAGTGGGCAGGGGTGACCCCTAAGATGGGGGGGCTTGTCACTCATGTTAAAGAGGCTGGAATTTTAAGAGACTATGCAGAAGGACTGGGAGTTCAGGGCCAGCCTGGGCTACGTACTGAGACTGTGTCTCCAAAAAAAAAGGGCTGAACTTTGTTCTGTAGAAAATAATTAAAGCAAGAGAGGAAAAACAAGTAGATTTGCATTTACCTGGTATCTTTTATGAAATATCCACCAGAAGCTGTCCAGCCACATTGCTTGGGCAAAAGGAGAAGAGAGAAACTTCTCCAATTCTGTAGCTGAACACAAAGACTTGGGGAAAAGTCACATTGTTATTGTTGACTTTCTTTTATTTATTCAAGGCCACACCAAGATTCAGAATCATCTTCCCACAAAACCTGCCTTCCCTCCTACGGCCTGCATCCTGTTACTGTCGATGCCCCATCTTCCCGAGGGTCACCTTGGAGAGCATGTATTTGGGGTCATCATGGATTGCCACCTTGCCTCGGGAGTGCTTGCAGTGGCCTGGCCCTGAGTTACGTGTGTGCCTGTCCTCCCTTCATGCTCCAGGCCTCTTCTGAGCGTGTGTTACCTTCACAGAGTAGGAGACTGAGATTTTCAGAGGAGGACAGCAAGGGCCAAAGAGCTGACGGCATTTGCCTAAAATAACACGGCCAGGAACACAGAGCAGGGCCAGAACCTGTAATCTAACTTTTTTTTTTTTTTTTGTCTTTTTGAGACAGGGTCTCACTATGCAGTTCAGGCTGGCCTTGAGCTCACTTTGTATTGAGGCTGGTCTTGAACTTTCAATGATCCTCCTGCCTTAGCCTCCCCAGTGCTGGGATTATAGGCGTGTGCCACCACGCCCAGCTTCAGAACCTGTATTCTAGACAGCTGCTCTTCCTCAGCTTCCCTGAGCTCTCACTGCCTGCATTTGTTCAGTCAGTTGTGACTGACAATCGCTTCTCAGCCTTTTGGCTAAGATCAAGTGTAATAGTGACTGACATCCACCAGATGGTCTACAAACACAAATGAGTGTGCTGAACCTGGGTGTGGCATGAACACCTGTAATCCCAGCACTCGAGAGGCTGAGGCAGGAGGATCACAAATTTGAGGCCAGCTGGGGCTACATAGTGAGTTCATGGCCGGGAAAAGACCAAAAACAAAACAACAATAGAATGATTGCATGTAAGATTTGGCTGAGTTAGAAACAAGCCCAAGGAATTCCAAGATTAAACCAATTATCTGTGAGTGCAGAAAATTTAGCATTGGTGGGCACAACCAGGTCTAGAACCTTGTCCTGAGCCTAATGCTGCCACTGTCACAATGCGACACAGAACATTTACTAAAGGTTTTGTTCTTCATTCACTCAGGTGGGGCATCCTCAGGCCCAGGTGGCAGCAGTCAGAGGCCCGGAAGGAGAAGGAAGAGAAGAACAGGCAGAGGGAGAGGGCAGTTGACGGTGGGGCTGAAGCGGTAGTGAGGACAGGAGGAAGGGACAGTCTGAGTTGTCCACTCCCTGGCATGGTAGGGCAACCAGTGAAGAGCTGAAGGGACAGTGACCAGAGCTGCTCTGGGGACCGAGAGTCACAGGATCATGAAGCAGGAAGAGGCACAGGGCACAGCTGCTGAGACTGCTTCCGGGGTCCTCCCCTGTCCAGACCTCCCGACAGTCACCCGTATTCTCATGTCCATTTCGTGTGCACACGCAGGGCCCCGCGGTGACATTCTGCCTTCCTCAGTCCCCAGTGTGTGCGAGGGCAAGGCTCACCAGGCAGAGTCCTCTCCCCAGGGAACAGGAAGAAAATATTCTAACTCGGGTCTGATTCAGAAAGAAATGAAGCCAAGCTTACCGCTCAGTCGGGGAACATGACCACGTGTCTACAGCAGGACCTGTGCAAGATGCTAATGGGGCACGTGACCAAAACACCCCAGGGACCACCTCCCTAGGAAAAACCATCTAGGTTTGGGGTGCACTTGGGCGGGGGTTCCCAGTCTAGCTCCATCCCCAGGGTGTGCGGCCCCAGGGGAGCTCCTCAGGCTGGTCGAGCGCCTGTGCTCTGTCCTCACCTTGCCACTCAGTGGGTTTTTCTCAGCCCGGACCACGTTGCCCACCATATCGCAGAAGCGCACCCCATTGGGGAGTTTGTTGGGCCTAGTGTCATTAAATTCGGGAGGCTGGTACAGCTCAGCCAGCAGATTTTTATCTGCAGTTTTCTGAAGCAAAAAAAAAAAAGGAGAATGTGGAAGTGAGTTCCATCCTTCTAACAGTTTAGGATGATAGGATTTCTTCCCATTTTTAATACGAAGGCAGTGTAACAATGTTATAGACCCTGAGCTATGCGTGGTGGCACACTCCTGTAATCCTAGCACCCAGGAGGCTGAGGCAGGAGGATTGTTGCGAGTTTGAGGTCAGCCTGGGCTACAAAGTGAGCTCAAGGCTAGCCTGAACTGCATAGTAAGACTCTGTCTCAAAAAGACAAAAAAAAAAATGTTATAGACCCTAAGACAATGAGGAGCCTTCACGGTTCCAGTATTGCTGACCAGACATACTTTATTTCTATTTTCCTTTAAAGGCTTTGAACAAAGGTATCCAAATATATATATGTAATTTTTTTTTGAGATAGGGTCTCTCTATATAGTCCAGGCTGGTCTTGAACTCACTATGTAGCCCAGGCTGGCCTGAAACTCACAATGATCCTCCTGCCCCAGCCTCCCAAGTGCTGGGATTACAAGCATGCGCCACCACACCCGGCACATATATGTAATTTAGTCATTACATACTTGTACACACATGCAAATATATTCTGCTTCATCTCCTTTAGGTTTTAAATCCAGCTGTATTGTCTTCAAAATTATCATTTAAAATACTACAATGTAATTGCTCACTGATTGTGTCTAATAATATTAGTCATGAGTAACCTGGTATATAGTCCCCATGATCTTCTCAAAATGGTAACATTGAATCAAAGGATATGACCCTATGACACTTTTTTTTTGGTATCGGGAATTGAATTCATGACCTCACACTTGCCAGGCAGGCGTTATGCATCCCAGGCCCAACCTTATGATACTTAATATATAACATTAAAAAAAAATGTAAAAGCCTGGGTGTGGTGGCTCACATCTGTAATTCCAGCACTTGGGAAGCTGAAGTAGGAGGATCATTGTGAGTTCGAGGCCAGCCTGGGCTACAAAGTGAGCTCAAGGCCAGCCTGAACTGCATAGCGAGACCCTATCTCAAAAAGACAAAAAAATAAAAGTAAAAATCCAGAAAAGTAAGAAGAAATTAATTGCCATTCCCACACAGCACCTCCTGGAAACACTGGGACATAATTATTCTCTAACAGGCTCTGGTGATTTGCAATGGCAGAGCAGCTTGGTGATTCACTGCCCTGACCTGGAGTCACATAACAGCTCTGCCACTTCCTAGCTGTGCTGGAAACTGACAATCTCAGTACAACCTCAAACACTAGGCTTCATGCTGTTTTGGAATTTGCTAGGCTAACAGGTGTAAAAGAATAACAATAATGTCCTGCTTCCTACTTTCCAGCATGTAAAGTTCTGGGTGCATATGACCTGGGTTCTTGAAAAAAACTAGCAGGGCAAATCTTTTTTTAAAGACAGGGTCTCACTATGTAGTTGATGTTGGCCTTGAACTCACTGGGTAGCCAAGGCTGGCATCAGACTTGTGGCAATCCTTCTGCCTCGGCCTCCCAAGTACTGGGAATACAGAGGTGTACCACCATGCCCAGCAAGAGAATTGGTCATTTTTTTATACTATTGAACTTTATGTACAAAATAATTTGATTTCAAATAAACATTTAAGTAAAAACAAACGTTCTTTTAAACTGAATTTTTGTTTACATCTAGTGTACCATTCAAATGCTTTACCATCTTACATGATTTCTTCAAAATCTGTTATCAAGGGTACATACAGAAAAGCATTTTTTTATAAATAGAAACAAAGGGATTTTTTTCAGCTTTTATTATTATAAGATAACATAAAAAGTTTACTCAACAGAAGTAATTTCATTACTATTTGGGGGAAGGGGGAGAATTGCTTAAAAAATTTTTTTTATCTTTTATTTCTGTGGTGCTAGGGATCGAAGCTATGGCCTCACACACGCTAGGCAGGCACTGTAGCACTGAGCCACACCCGCAGCCCACAGGGGAGTCTACACTGGGGTGGACGTGAGGCGGGCCAGATTATGTGCTCTCCATTAGGATCAGCATGCAGATGCCAGGCTCCTCCTGCGCAGGGACAGGACCTATGCCGTGCACAGTAGAAGGCAGAGGCACATCCAAACATCGGTCCCCTTCCCTTTTATTTTTATTGGGACATTTGCAGTACGTAAGGATCGCATTCACCGTGGGGAACTGGTACACGGACATAACACATCATTCTTTTGAATCCCCTACCCCTCTCGCTCGGCCTCCTACCAGTTTGCAAAAGACCCATCTCCCTTACCCTTTTTATAAAGGTAAAGTTGGTAGTCCTGTGCGCCACGTCTGTGCAGGAGCTCGGTGCTTTTCTTGCTCTCTTGGCTGCAGAAGAATAGAGGAAGAGAAATCAGAAATGAGGAGCTCCAGGCACTGCCCACTGCTTGGCGGTAACTGTCCCTGTGACTTGTCACTCACCTGAGCTGCCAGGTGACACCACTCAGCCTGCTGGTCTCACTAGATCCCACTGTGTCGCTCACTTACTAAGATCCCCCTCCCTGGTGGACGTGGTGTGACGTGTCACTGGGAGGTGGTCCCTAGATAGTGCTGTCCCTCCCTCCTTCCTTGCCCAAGATCAGGACATCAGACTTAAGTCTCCTTCAGAAGAGGACAAAAACATCCTCATGTACAACTCAGGGTTCCTATTTGATTGGATTTTTGAAATTTAAAAATCAAGACTGGGGATACAGCTCAGGGGTACAGCACTTGTCGAGTATGTGCAAGGTCCTGGGCTGGGTCCCCAGAATTGCAAAAGCAAACAAAAACAACAAAAATTTAAAAATTATTGTTTTAAATAAAATGAAATCCCATGAAGACACCTTCAAGGCTATGAGAAAAGATTTTTGCCTCTGTCTCCTGGGCTGCTGCGACTTTTCTCTCTGAAAGCTTTCTTCTCCAACTCAAATCTCTCAATTGCCTTAAAAAACCAGAAGAAGAAAAATGGGCCATTAGAGACTGATGGAAATACTGGGGAAGGGGACCTGCTCTTTTGTACCCAAAAGGCCTGGGGCAAAGTCTGCACCCAGTACCTCCTGCCCTCCTCCTACAGCCCATAGATACCGGTATCACTGAAGTCCTCCCCGAGTGTCACCGGTACATCTACCTCCCAGGATCCTTTAATGATCAGAGATAAAAGTATGTGGTGCATTTTAAAACACTAAGACAGAGGTTATCAGATAGGGTTGTTATGAAATTATTAAATATCATGCCCTTGACCTTTTAAGAGTCCCTTGAGCTCTGCGTGGTGGTGCATGCCTGTAATCCCAGCACTCAGGAGGCTGAGGCAGGAGGATTGTTGCAAGTTTGAGACCAGCCTGGGCTACAAAGTGAGCTCAAGGCCAGCCTGAGCTGCACAGGGAGACCCTGTCTCAAAAAGATATAAAAAAAAAAAAAGAGAGAGTCCTTTGATCTCTGATTCCCTCCACTCCATCGCATTACCTTAGAAAAGGAAAGAAAGAAAAATGAACATCAGAGACCCATAGTTGTACTGATTGTCAACTAAGAGTCCCACACCGTGCTTGGATAACAAAGTTATCTATGCATCAGATGCTGGGTGCCATCTACCAGCATGGAATGGATGCTGAGAAAGCAGTCTGGCACTGAAGCAGGAGAAGTGGGCACACAGTGGAGGCCTGGTATATAAAGGAAATAGAAAACTCTGGTCCAAAGAGGATGGACAAGGTGGCCCAAGGATGGATTCTGCTGGCTGTAGGTATCAGCAGATCTGGCCAACTGCCTGGGCAGAGGAGCAAGGACAGGCAAGGAGTCCTTCCTGCAGGCCATGTGGGCTTGGGAGAGGCTTCTGACAGCCCCATCCTGGTTCTGACTGGCCATCAGGAAATCTAGGAGCCAGGCATGGTGACATGTGCCTATAATTCCAGCTCTTAGGAGGCTGGGGTGAGAGGAGGATGGGTTTGAGGCCAGCTGGGCAGCACAGTAAGACCTCATCTCAAAACAATAAAATACATCCAAGGAGCTGTGTCTATGCTGGGCACTCTCCCACCAGATCCTGCTTCTGGAAGGATAACATTTTTTTTCCTGGTTTAAAAAAAAACCTGTTATTCAAAATCCCAGAATTGACATGTGTATTATTGTTTTAAAATATGCAAACACAGAGAAGCACTATAATATAGAGTGGAAACTTTCCACACTTACTATCCCACTCTCTTTACCAGGGCTGACCCTGATCGCTGGGTGTCGATCCATCCCAACTCCCCCATGCACTGATGCACAGAGCACGTTCCAGCTGTGAGCCAGCTGTTCCTCTGAGCCCTGAGCTAAGGGCTGCATGGGCCTTGACTCATCTGACACAGCAACAACCCTAGCAGGGAGACACATCATTGTCATCTCTTTTACAGGACACGAGGGTTAAGTTACCTGTTTAGTGTCACGATATGAAAGAACACTAGAGTAGGAATTTAAACTCCTCCAGCCTTACCCAGCCTGCCTTCTCTCCCACAGATAAACACACAGATATGCAGAGTGCTTTTTAACCTATGTTGAACCATTCTGAGTGGTGTTCACGTATACTTGGCTTTTATCTGCAACTTAATTCTAATTCTTCTACCTGTAACTTAATTCTGTATTTGATGGCAGGGTAGTGG